ACCATCAGGTAATCACTCCTACAGCAGGTGCACTACCAGGTAATCACACCCACAGCAGGTGCACCATCAGGTAATCACTGACCAACTGACCTGGCGCCTTCCTGTCTCCCCCCCAGACGGACTACTTCCACCTGTTCATCTGCGTGGCCATCATCGTGCTGTACGGCGACGACGTGACCGAGCAGCAGCTGGCCACCGACCAGATGCTCCTGCACTTCAGCAACCTGGCCATGCACATGAACGGCGAGCTGGTGCTCAGGAAGGTAGGAGCTGGACAGGGCAGCACTGACCACTCACCGTGGATAAAGGAATGTGTCTATACATGATTGTGCTGATGATCACAGGGCAGTCGGTCCCGGAGTTAGTCTGCTCCTTTTTATAAAGTGAATGAATCCACTGAGAGGCAGTAGTCACTCACAGGGGTGGTCTGGCCCAGACTGAGCTCGCTGCAGGCACACAACAGCAGAACGTACATCCCTTTGAGTCAGCTTTACTGCATCTGGACCTCCTCCTGCCCAAAGCAGGGAAATCTTAAAACCAGAAGAGTATAATGTGAACAGTTTTGCTGTTCCCTTATCTTTCTTCCTGATAGCCAGCTGTGACCCCTCTGAGCCTCTCTCTCTCTCTCTCTCTCTCTCTCTCTCTCTCTCTCTCTCTCTCTCAGGCCCGGAGCCTCCTCTACCAGTTCCGTCTCCTTCCCAGAATCCCCTGCAGCCTGCACGACCTGTGCAAGCTGTGCGGTCCGGGGATGTGGGACAGTCGCTACATCCCGGCGGTGGAGTGCTCGGGAGAGCACGCCGATTCCCAGAGCTGCCCGTACGGGGGCACCCTGGGCGAGCCCTCGCCCCGCCCCCCCTCCTCCAGTGAGGGCAAGAAGGGCTCCAAGACGAGGGACATCTTCAACTTTCGTAAGCAATCCTGAGTGGCGAACAGCAGGGGGCGCTGTGCAGGACCCCACCACCACAGCACTCTGCTTGGGCTGTTTGTTTGCTGGGCCGCTGCATTGGCAACATGGGGTTTCGCTCTGCTTGGGAATTTGGGGTCTTTGGGATCTGCTTCTCGCAGGGCAGTGTCTGGGAATCCGGATGGCCTGTTTCGCACATCTCTGAGCCCAGCGACGCGACTCTCTGTGTGGCTGCAGCTGCCGTGGCCTGTTTCTCTTGTAAGGGCGCGTGGGTGTCACTCAGGGTCATGTGCACCTTTCAGGACCTTGACGTTACAGATCCTGCACAGCCCTCGGCACCCCAGTATCTGCTGGGTTCTAATCCAGCACAGCTTCAAGTGCTTAATTAAACCCTTAACGGGACTGTGGACCTCCAACATTAGACCTATTTCTTCTTTCTTTTAGTCTTATTGATAACACTATAAAATCGGCGTTTGACAGTCGGCCATACAGCGCGACGAAGAGAGAGGTCAGATGTGTGTCTGTATCTAGGGGTGCTATGTGGCGTGAGACTGGGACTGTCTGAAGGTGCTCGTGGCCTGGCACCAGTCAGTGTGTAGAGCAGCAGGTGGGGAGGCTTTGCTGGGAATCCTGCTGCGGTTGGGGAGGGGGTGTCGACACGCACCCTGTGTCCCGGGTCACCGACCTTCACCCGGACGGACAAGCTGGACTTGTAACAGCAGACTGTCTCTTTCCTGAGTGGGTAGAGATGTCGCGTTCAGATCAGCCCTGCCTGCTCGCCGGCGTTTGGATGAGGGGGAAGGAGCACACTTGGCCTTTTTGTCTCTGTTTACTCCAGAACTCGACAAGGCCAGACCTGGATGCTGCAGAATCCTGTTGAGAGGAATAAGAGCATCATAGCAGGACGGGCGCAGAGGGGGGCCTGCAGGGCAGGGACAGGCCCTGCAGGGCCCCAAGCCCAAGAGTGGCTCTGCCTGGCTCACGAAGCTGCCGTTCAGGCTGCTGTTTGTCGGGGTCAGTCAGGGTGACGCATTGCAGCTGTGCAACACATGAAGACACACGGGGAAGAGCTGACTGACTGCGGGGCAGGGCTGCACTGGCCATCGCCATGCAGAGACGATCCCCCCCGATCTCCCCTCATCCGGCCTCCCTGTCTCCACCCCGGCTCGGGACGCCTGGGCTCTGCCCCTCGCTGGCGTGGCGGGGGCTGGGTTTGTGGGCCTGCAGGGCTGCGGGACTCAGGCTCTTGCGCTGCGAGGATGAGAAGTGTCCAGGGCAGCACCAAGCTGCTCCAGCAGCAGGTCTTTGAGTTCATTCGAAATTTATTTGGAAAATAAAATTGAGCGTTGTAGGAAAGCAGTGCCGTTACGACGCAAGGTGGGGTCTGTGAACTCGGACAGCAGTCTTCTCCATATCGGGTCCCAAGGGTGCTGCCCAGAGCCTCCGTTGGGTGAATCTCACACCCTGTTCGTGCTGAAGTGCAGCCCAGGCTGGTAGCACTGCGATCAGTGACCTTGTCTACTGAGGTGCTCACCACATCGCCCACAAACAGGCACGACCTCATGGGCACCACTGGGAGCAGGCCACATGGCGCCTGTAGTCCATCCGGCTACTACTATCTAAAACTTCTGAGAGTCTCCTCCGGCAATTTCTTGAAAGAAGCCAGGGTATCGGCATCGACAACATGGAAGAGCTTTGTGTTTCCGGACTCCCACAACTCTTTGTGTAAAGAAGGGCCTTCTGTATGTAGCCATCGCCCCTGCAAGACACACTGGTGCTTCAGGGACACCCTAAAGGGTTAACTCCGCTCAGCACGCAGTGTTAGACCTGAGAAACCCACAGACCTCTCCAAGACACGTCGCCCTGTACCAGAGCGAGCTGCTTGATCTCGAGTACCCCTGAGTTCTCCTTGGAGAACCAAGGAGCTTCTCTGGAGAAGCCACAGAACACAGCTGGTGTGAGGGAGGACGACCTGTGTCCCTGGGAAGAGCGCTCCTCCGGTGTGGAGCAGATTAAGATTAAAACAGGAATTTAATCCTTGGTGGGTTTTGGGATGGTTTTATGCTACGGGATCTGCGAGGTTGTAATATCAAATTCCAATCTAGGAAGTAAAGGGAAAATGACTTCACTTTTCTTAATGCAACTCGGCTGTTAAGAAGCATTGCACTGTTTCACTTTATTGCGTTTTTGCAAACGAGGGCATCGGTGGTCCAGCAACGTGTCTTCGGGGTGGGAGAGTTCGCAGCTCCCCCTACAGGTGACCGTGTGGGGCCACGTCCGCGGAACTGCTCCCTGGGCTCCGGGACCCGCGGTGGAGCGGCGAGGAGAGACTGAGACGGAGGGATCGTCCGCGAGCTGGGGGCGGTGGGCTCCCGCAGGTGTTGCCGAAATCAGTCCCAGAAATCCCTGCCGCCGCTCGGGCAGCTCGTGGGGGAACCAGATGGTCGCCGAAGCAGGTCTGGGACTGAGCTTGGAGGGGCGTTAGAAGTTGGTGGCTGAGGGGTTGTGGGTGGAAAGGCCATCAGGAGGGGTGTCCGGATTGGCGGCGGGCGGCCAGGTGATGTTCTGGAGGGGCAGCAGGGTCAGAGAGGGGTCACAGGGGGTCTGGGGTGTAGATGGAGTCGTCAGCTGGCAGCAGGCAGGCCCAGGCTGCAGTTGCTCTGCGGTGTGTGATAGCATCTGTGGTCTAACTGTAAGGACGGTATCAGAGGGCGACAGGCACAACCTGCCCTGGCCCTGGCCAGATAAGCGTGCGTGCGCACACACAATCAGTTCCCCGGCAGCGGTGCACGAGCATGAGGCGTGTGTAGATGTGTGTTCGTGTGAGGGTACACGTGTGCGTTTGTGTGGTGTGTGTGTGTGTGAGAATAACTGTGCCTATGTGTGGCTGTAGGGTGTTTTGTGTGTGTTTGTGTGCTGTGTGTGTGAGAAATTCTGTGCCTGTGGGTGACTGTAGGGTGTTTTGTGTGAAATGCTGTCTGTGTGAGTGAGTGTTGGGGAGATCAGCAGCTGGGCTCCTCCAGTCTGCCCAGCTCTGTCCTCCATGCCTCTCCAGCCGCCAGAGTAGGGCAGGGCAGGGCAGGGCTTGGGCCACGTAGCAGTTGCTGTTTAATGATCAATTAGCAGACAGCGGCGGCACGCAGGGACAATAATGAGTGTGGAGAGGGCAGGGTGGTGGGCAGTGCCCCATCGCCAGGCTGCTGCGGAGCTGATGATCCAGTTTTGGCTCAGGGCAGGGGCACCGACGCTCTCCAGCAGCGCGGGGCTGGCTAGCTGGCCTCTCATCTCGCGGATCATACTGCAGAATTAAAATCACAGCTGTTCCTGTCAAATGCTTTCTTACTCATTTCTGCTTTTTCAAGACTGTCTCTCCGTGGTTGCACAAAAATCTTGCTGCGTTCCTGCAAAAAAAAAAAAAGTTTTCATATTCTGAGCACTGTAAATCGACAAGAAAGCCTATGGAGGGGTTTCCCAAGACAAATGCAGGATTCTTCCAGGAACTATGAAGGTATTGTTTGTGCGCCAGGCCTGGCTGCAGAGGCTGAGACAGTCATAGAGGGGTGTCTGGGCTGTGGGAGCTGGGAGTGGCTCTGAGGCTTAAGGAGGACGTTAACAGTAAGAAATGCCCCCGGTGCAAGGGCATCTTGAATCTTTGTTGGAGTTTTTTCCAATTCCCTATTTTTTAAAAAGTAGATTCGTTGCTTGCTTTGGCACTCGGCAGACTAGACCGAGCCCCGTGTCACCCAGGCACTGCTCTCCCAGCTCCCAGCTGTGTGTGGGGGCTCTGTCTGTGTGCCAGCTGGCTGGCTCAGGTGAGGGCAATCGGTACCACAGCCAGGTGTGACTCTGCCTTACTTAGCTACAGGCCTTTGCTTTGGCACACCGAGGCCAGGGTGTCGTCCAAGGGCAGGAGGAGTTCTGTGATCTGAGCCCGAGTGCTGTCATGAAGCCACTGAGGGGTCGTCTGTGAGGGACACTGCTCTTCTCCAATCAGAGCAGAGCCTCAAGCATGGGGCGGTGCTTCCTGTGATGTGTCAATAGATGATTGGCTTGAAGGTTGGCGGGGTCTGGAAAGCCTGCCTACACTTCCTCATTCTCCCCGTGTGCGGTCGTGGGCTTCTTAGCTGTAGGTTGAGCTGTGAAGAGTACACAACTGGCGATTCCCAAACAGTGTGTACAGCAAAAAATAACTGGCGGTTCTGATTTTAAAAAAAACATTAAGGTCTGTCTGCCTGGCTGTGAGAGGCTCTTCTGCTTCTCTCTTATAACAAAGGGAACTTGGCACCTGTTTTTTTATTTTGTTTGTTTGTGTAATTTCAGGTTTAGAGCTGCGGTTCTAATATAAGTGAAGGAAACTCTTTTAGGATCTTGTGGGATCCGATTGCACTAAAGGGTCCTGGAAAGCACAGAGTAGAACTGAAGACACGCCCGTGCCCAGCACCGAGATGATCATGAAGGAATCTGACTGTATTACTGCTTGAAGGCCTAGAAAACACTGTTATGTAAAAATACAAATATAAAAGTGTTAAAATTACAAAAACACAAATGATTGTTCATTGCTTTTCTACACTTAATTCACTATCCTGTCCTGTAATAATGACCAAGTATTATGATTTTTTTCAATAAAATGAGAAAAATCCCACATCTATTCCAAGAGCTTGTTCTGTGTATTTCCTCTTGGACTGCCCCGTTCCTCATGGGATTGAAGGGGAACCTCGGCTCCGGGTTCCCCTGTGGAGTTCTGTGATGGGACCAGAGCCAGGGGCAGAACAGAAGACAGACTTCTAGATCTTTCTCATGTATCGCTTCTTCCAGGACATTCATCCTCACTTGCTGCTGCCGATATACTGGGAGGTAATGCTATGGATTTCATCCATCAACTTTCGAACCACTTTATCCAGTACAGGGTCACAGGGAGCCTGTCGCTGCAAGCAACAGGCACAAGGCAGGGTACACCCTGGACAGGACGCCAGTCCATCACAGGACACACGCAGATACAGACATGGACACACTCACACCAGGGCCAACTTCCCCAGTGTTTCTGAATTGAGCTGAAAACAATAAGTCTAATAAATGTTCAGGTGGGAAGCTGCATCAGCATGCGTAGACTGCAAAGGAACAAGTTATAGGTTTATTCCATGCTGAAAAGAGAAGAAAGAAAACGTTTTGGCCATAGAGCCTTCCTCAGGTGTGAGAAAGACAGGGCAGTAAGCAAAGGTAATGTAGCGGTCTAGTCTAGTAAAGTTTCCAGAACCAAAGCGCAGCAGTATCCCTGCAGCACCTGAGCGGAGTGCGCCCCTCGTCGCCCCTCTCGGCTGAAAAACCCAGAATCTGCTCATTGCCTTTGAGCGGTTTAAAATCTTGGAATAGCATAAGTTTCCAAAATCAAACCAAAATCGTGTATGTAAGCAGTGAAGCCGCAGGCTGGTTGCCAGTCGGAGTAGATGTGTGTGAAACAGGCGTGCAGGTATCCACGGCGGCCGGGAAGGGGGCTTCATGAGCTGCAGCAGACGCCTGACAGCCCCTCCTGTGAAAAACGTTCATGCTGCCTACAGGAGTCCTGGACATTTCTGGATTCGACTGAGAGTTACTCCGGGAGACAGGGAAACCCTACCGTCTGTAGTCCCTCATCCCTTACAGTGTAGGAGAGCCCAAAAGAGAAACATTTGGCGTTGTATTGAGATTTTATTTCCATCAGATGTCTGTGCTGACGGAGGTCCGGCTGTGAATTTCTTCTGACGTCCACTGCACCGCTGGAGCAGGCAGATTGTCCGAGCCCACCAGCATCCCAGCCAGGAGTTTGCCTGTGCCTCTGTTCTACATTTAGTCCGGTTCTGAGCCACGAGCAGACAGGGTTTCTGCAGCCCGACGGGCCTCTGTCCTCACTGCCCAGCGAGGTGGACAGGGGTCAGCATTCGCAAAGGTGCCCTTTATCCTTCCAGCGTGGTGCACGAACTGGACAGTAGCTGTGCTTCCCAAGGAGCCTCCGGCTCTCTCTTCCGCAGGACAGGTCAGGACAGGACAGCTCCTCTCTCCCAGTGCCCCCTTCTGTCAGGAAACAGCTCAAGCCGATTGGCGCTGAAATAGAAAAATGTTGGAAACCACTTGAAATTGTTCTCTTAGGGAGAACGCTGAAAAACAAGACCTCTGTAAGGGCTCAGAGGATGGAGAGTGAGTCATGGAGGCTGAGTCATCTGTGTTTTCTTGCCCTCATCCCCATGAATCTGTTTTTCTCTGAGCAAGAGCAGCAGTGTGAAATGTGAAATGTGTGTCCATTTCTCCCCTCAGCGCTGCTGCTCCAGCCCCGAGCCTGGGAGCAGGACTGGGAGTCGACACCAGCACGCTTCACCACTCAGCTCTGTGACACATTCCACATGCCACCTCTTTCAAATGGTGCTCTACAGCCAGCCACGAACTCAGCCTCAGATATTCAGCAGTTATAGTATCAAACATGCAGACCTGTAGCCCGACAGCATGTCAGAAATTACCAGTTCTGTTCAGCCCAGCCAGCCCATTTGATCGTTAGTCGCTGATTGATCTCAGAATCGCATCCCGCCACTTCTTGAAGGAAGCCAGGCTGTCAGCTGCACCCTGGCTGGGCAGCTCGTCCCAGGAAGAGTCTCCTGTTCCCTGTTCCACAAGCTCTTCCACATACTGTAGCTTCCTCTTGTGTCTTCTGGCTCGTGCTTCACCGCTGATTGTGAAGAGGCCAGACAGGCGATTAGCAGGACAGTGACAATCCAGCCACACTGTCTCATCTGGTCAAACCTTTATATCCAAACTGCTTGATGTTTCCTGCAGACTGTTCATTCCAGCAGGCTGACACAGCCTTCAGCTACCAGCTGGGCCAGCTCACAGCAGCCTCGAGGTTCTTTCTGAACGCAATCTTTTTAATCGGTCTCTGTGTGAGTCATTCCAGTAAATGTCCGTATCTTCTTTTGTACCAGGAATTTATACGAGCGGCGATCTGTATCGTTTTCCGCGATGTTTATTAGAATGAACTGCGAACACCTCTCAACGCCTTCAAACCGCGCGCAGCAAGGGGGGGGGCGTTCACCTGAACCCCATGGAGTTGTGACCTTCCTTTAAAAAAACAATTGTGTAAGAGTGTAGGTCCGGAGGGCGTGACGTCACCGCGGAATAATGGGCAGAGGGGCCGCGCGCCCCGGTGACCACTCGCTCGCGCCGCTCCAGGTGACGGCCCGCGGGCCCCTGCTGTCCTCCCTGCCGGGCTCTGTCACCTGTCACAGCGAGTCCGCGAGTGACACACGCACTGGCCAAGTACAACCTGCCTGTCCGCCACTTAGCGCAGCCGCAGGTCTTTCCAGCTGCTGCCTGCCTGCGTGCTGCCCGTGTCAGCTCCACCGCCCGCGCAGGCGTGGGTCTGTAGAACCGCTTTTATCTGCGGCACCAGCCTCTTGATCTCACCAATGAGCTCGTTCTGACTAATAACTAAGTTTACTATGATTTGTTTTTGTGACTGGTGAGGACAGCCCAGGAATTGAATAATTCTGTGACAGGCTGTGACACCTTTACCTTTCTGCTGCTAGAGCAGCTCATTTTATGAATTTCAGTTAGTTCGGTCAGCTTCATTAAACTAAATCTTCATTGCTGGAATCTGCTGTGGAAATCAGGACTGACTGCTCGATCACCGATCACCTCCCTGTTTTACCGTCTAAACAAGCAGAGTACCGGAGGGGATCTCAACCACAGCGGGCCTGCTATCTCACACAGCATAAACGAAATATCTTTTCACTATTTTTTTTTCGTGTTTGTTTATCAGTACGTCGTCCTGATTGCCGGCAGACTGTATTTCCTTCTCGGTGTCACTGAACCGTTTTGCCACAGTAGACTAAGGTTTTGAAAAACCGAGCTCATCTCCACACTTTCATCTCAGGATGCAGCAGCATTGTGCGAGTTTATCTTGCACTATAATTACACGCGTTAGAAAATAAGAGGTAAAATTAGCGGCACTGGTGCCTGTGATATTTTTACCCCTTCTCATGTGAGCGTGTCTTTATCAGAGATCTGCGGGCAGGGACGAGGCGCCGAGCGCGGCTGTCGCAGGTGCCGGCGCGGTGGAGGCGAGGCGCAGGTAAACACGGCGCGGACGGGCTGGGAGATGATGAAACTCGGGCGGCCGCCGCTGCAACGCGCGCCGCCGGCCCAGGCTGGTCTGATGTAACCGGGGCCCCCCGCCGAGGCGCGCGAGCGAGCCCCGGGGACTCGGCGGTGACGCAGGCGCGCGCCCCGGCGGGAGGGCTGCAGGTAAACAAATCCGAGGCGCGTGTCGCTCCAGAGAGCCCGCGGGGCGCACAGGTGAGCTTCATCTAGCCCCGCAGGGGGGGGGCAGAGCTCGGAGAGTAGAAACGCGTTGTGTCCTGAAACCCGCCACCCTGGACCCTGTCGCTCCGGCTGTCCAGTCCGAAAGAGCAGCAGGACTGCAGGTAGGGGGCGACCCTCCTGAACACACCTGGACAAGACAGGTAGCGGGGAGGAAGAGTCTGTCCGCCGGTAACAGAAAGACAACATCTGGACTCCGGCACATTAGAAAAAAGTTCAAGTTTCAGAATAACACGATTGTTATATATATATGTCAGCTCAAGTGTAAAAACCACGCGCGATCTTGTTTGTGGTTTCTGGTGTCGAGCGCTCAGCGGTCGGGTGAGGAGCTTCGTGTTTTAGGACATTAATAAGCTTCCAACAGTGAAAGAGCGGGAGGCAGGAGCGACCAGAAGCATTTCAGTGCTTCTAACGCGTTTCAAACTCCTTCCCCCTGCTCGGACCCGAGCCTGGCCCTGCCTGAACCTGACACGACCGGCAGAGTCCGAGTCCTGCTCGTGTTTCCCGCCCCAGCTGGCCGTGTGTGCTCCACATCCGGGCTCTGACTGCACCCCCTTCTCCTGGGGCGATAATTGTGAAACAGAAGCCGACAAGAAAATGATTCTTTTTGATTTGATTAGAATTACTAACAAAACATTAGAACAGCTGGCTGTAGCATTTTGCACCATTAAAAATAACATCAGACAATGCGAAAACCATTATCGACTGTTTTCACAGCATTTCAAAGTTTAGAATTTGCTAATGGATGTGTACAGCGCCGCCCCAGGCTCTGGGAATGTGGCCCAGGCTGGACAGTGGTAAGACGGCTCTCCCACCCAGTGTCCTGTCTCAGCTGGACAGTGGCTGGGCAGCAGGGTAATCCCCCTGGCAGGCTCACAGACCGGCTTGGTCAGAGCTCCTTATCTAAGGCAGCAGAGTCTGCTGACGCCTACAGTCACACACACACCCGGCGCACTCAGAAGGTGTTCATGGTCAGCGCCAGATAAGTCAAGGCAAGAAGCTGATTTCACGGAGACTCACTGAACCCCCAGGATCCTTGCAGCGATCAGATTAGCTCTTTCATCACAGGCGCCGCCGCCAATATCCTGTTCCACAGCAGTGTGCGTCCGCTGATGTTACATTCAGCTCCACTGTGGTGATACGGAGCCCGCCCAGACACACACCAGGGCATGGACCTGCTCTCCACCTGGAGCACACCTGGAGGCTCTCCTCCTCCTGGGCCTCTGGACTCGACAGACAAAACGCCTGTGACTTCACCGGTGTTCACTGCCTCTGCTGGGGGGTTCAGTTCAGCCCTTCGCAGGGTCCAGGCAGCACAGAGATTGAAACCGTCTCTGCAATCTTATCAGGTGTTTCAGGAGACACACAAGAAGAATCTAAGAAAGGAAACCAACAAGACGGGGGCCATTCAGCTCATATAGCATCTTTGCAGTTCGTAGCTAATTGATCCCAGGATCTCACTCAGCCCTGTCTTGAAATAAACCAGGGCATCGGCTTCAACAGCAAGGCTGGGCAGCTTCTCTGAAGCTTCGCATTCATTCTGAAGAAATCCACTGATCTGGCTTTGACCGCCCGTGTGAGGACTGAGAGGACTTGAATAAGGGTCCCCCGTGTCTTCTCTGTCCACGAATAACAAGGTTCTCTTCCTTCAGCCTGTCTGTGTAGGACATTACTTTGGGCCCCAGAATGTAACTGGTTGGCCTTCTTGCTCCCATCCTGTGGAAACCTACCATCACACCCTGGTTTGAACGGGTTTGTGTGGCCAGTGGGCGGAGGTCTTGACTGAACCTGGTCTTTCCCGCCTCCTTCATAGCACATGTTCTCTTTGCACTGCCTCTGTAAAGGATGCAGACCTCAAAAGAAGATATTATTTCTGTAGAGCTCACTGCTTATTTATTTTCCAATCTAATTCACTTAATCATGGCAGGATCTTTCGGTGTTTAATACATTTTAATAAAGCTTTAATATGCTCGCTATTAATACATGTTACTGGATTGTATTTTGTGTGAACCGCCCATGAGTGTAAATGATGATGATGATGATGATGCTTATTCAAAGCGAGATGGATGGAGCAGCAGGAGCTGCTCGCAGGGCCTGACTCAGACGTGTTCTGAGAAGATCGTGCTGGCAGGGAGCCCTGCAGAGCTGAGAGACAGACAGATTAGAAAGGGCATGTAATGGAGGCAAATTGTAATAGAGGCAAATCTCTGTGGCAGGATTCTTGCAATGCTTTGCTTTATGTAATTCCACTAATTTAAGGCATTTGTAACGCTTGCTTTGCTGGCTGTGACAGGCTGTCATGGGCACAGTGGAGGCTCGCAGTGTGGGGAGGGTGCAGGAGAGGGTCTGACAGCCGGAGGAGCTGTCGCAGCACAGAGAGCCAAGTCCTGCTTCGCAGGTGAGAAGCAAGATTAAACAAGTTTTGTTTCCGAATGAGTCAATTAACACTCCTGTAGTTCCCTGCGATGTGAACGCACACGCTGCGTCTTCGTTTTCCGGTTGGAGGGCTGCTCACGAAGTCATTTGTTTCAATTTGTGACAACCGAGCTCGTTGGCAGAGATCCTTCACTGAAACAGCTTTGAGCAGATTACAGTCGATGAGGAAAGTGTTACCACACCCAATTAAAAGCCTCAACAAACCCCTTTGTGAGCCTCTCTTGTGCATTTCAACCCTTTGAACAGCAGACTCTCCTTCGGTAGTGAGCACAATAAGCTGTAAAAACAATCAGCATAAATAACAAGGCACATTGCAAATGGAAAGTTTTTGTACAGTCGGAGAGCATCACAGGACAGTCTCCACCTGCCCGTTGTGCTGTGATGCAAGTGTCTTTACAGGAACAGAGTCTCTTCTGTTGAAGAGCCCTGGGTCTTGCTCTTAGGTTGCAGCTGTGGTGTGTGTGTAGCCTCTTCAGGCGACACGTCTGCAGGAAATTCAGGTTGAGGGTAAGGAGTTTTTTTTCCTGGCCTGAGACTGGAGGTGCGTCCATCAGCCACAGAAACCTTCCGCTTTTAACTAGTGAGGAATATAGGCGTTCAGTGACTGAACCCCGGCCACACACATGCACACACGCCGCCCAGTTGCAGAGGGAGTTCAGTGCATCCTAACAGAAACTTACTGATGTGAAATGCAATCCTGCTTCTGTTCAGACCCACAGACGCAACAGGGGAGCCCCCAGGAAATTAGCCGTTTCGTGCACGCTGAATGACAGCTGTTCCTCTACAACCCTCCCCCCGCCCTGCACGCAGCCCCCAGAGAATCAATCTGCTATCAGCCCGGCCTAAAAATAGCCGAGGCACACTGCTCAGCACTCTCCCCGAGAGCTGCAGGGCTCGCCGAGCACCGCGCGGGCCTGCCCTCACGCCCGCTGGGCCAGAAGACAGCAGGAGCTCCTGCTCCTCCACCGGTGCCACTGGTCCCTCTGGTCCCCTGGGAGGGAGACAGGGAGGGGCCCCTGTGGCATAGATCCCCTGGGCTCTGGAGCGCCCCCCAGTGCTGGTGCCCCGTGCTCACGTCAAGCCCGTGCTGGCGTATTCAAGCAGGCCAACGACCTCCCCAGTGTGGAGTGCTGCTCTCAGGCTCGCCGGCGTCACCCAGCCCACAGACCCTGCCGCTGCGACGAGCGGATGTCCGGCGTCCGGAGTCCGGCGCTGGCCTGGGCTGAGCACTGAGGGGACAGGGGTGCTCCGGCTCGTGACGTGGGAGCGCGGCCCTTTTCCCATCCCAGGGAAAGGCTCTGGAAGCGTACCAGTGTCTGGTCTGTGCGGCTGCTCTGTCCTGTTTAAGGTGAAGCCCGGCAGCAGCTCAGGCTCCTCCGGGTGCATCCTGAACGCTCGGCTGTTCCACGAAGGAGAGGTGGGGGAAAGGCGCTGCCTCTCCTGTGTGCTTCCTCTTATTTGAAAAGTGTGTGACTATGCCTGTGGACCTCACTGCCACCTCTAAAACAGACAGAAGACGACAACATTGTTCTGGTATAAAAGAGTCACATTCCACTGATGTATTGATCGCCTGGAGCCCTGGTTTTGGGCTAACTGCAGAATTGGTTTATTTGAAATTGATAATCCAGCGGGTTAGACGGCAGCGTCTTGGTCTCCAGATACAGACAGTGCGACCCCCCTGTTCAGGCAGGGGGGGGATGTCTGCCCTTGCAGAGATCCTCGCTGTGCTCTGGGTGGGGCTGAGCTTGTTTCCTCTTAACTCAAATTCCAAGAGCTTCAGAGGGCGTGACTGCTGAGCGACAGTGTTGACAAAGCAGATACGATGAGCACAACGTGAAGCTACGTTGACCTGTTGCCTGTCCAGGTGAGGGGTCTCGGCCTGACTCGGTTAGTTTGTGGCCCACCAGAGTCTCACACTTCTCCCAGCCTTTAATGGACACCAGTATTCTGTCCTCTTCAGCCCCTGTTCTGCTGGATATTTGATTCTTAATACAAGATCAAAATACGATTTTAAAACCAACTCGAATTGACAGGGTCCTAGGACATAAAAGGGTCTTCTAGTATAGTTGGTTATCAGTCCAGTTGTGGGTTCAATTAGATCATCTAAGGCCAGAAACTGGAACAATTCACATGCACCAGTCTACCAGTGACTGGCGTCTTCCCATCCCAGCGCACGCTTCTGCAGCAGTCTGGCACAAACACGATTCCCCATTGATTCATTGACTGTTGAGCTAGAGAACGGAGGTGCCGACTGCGGATCGGCGCCACGCTGGATTGGAAAACCGGGGATTCCTGCTGAGGTCCCCAGCCCCCTCCTTTGATAGCGCTTCCAGTTGATTGTATCAATGCAATAACTGAGAGCCGTCCACAGATGGGACAGCACGGAAACCAGCGCCCCCTGTCGGTGTCCAAGACCTGAGCGGACGTGTCCACAAGTCTCCAGCTCCCAGCTCCGCCCCGCCACGACTCGATCTCGTTTCCCGCCCGAGGCTAGGTGCCGCTGCGCCGGGCCGCTCGACGCGTTAATTTGGGAATCCGAGCCTCGGTGCGCCGGACCCCTGCAGCCCCCCGCCCGCTGATCTCCCCGACCCTGAAACACACCCCCACCCTGCCGCTCGCACCACGGCCGTCCCTCCGCTTTGTTCTGACAACTTCCCGTTTTTCTCTCCTCCATGATTTCTGCCTTCCCGTCTAGTTTTCTGCGTTTCCCGGTTGACTGCGCGGCCAGCAGCGGCGGGCGACTGCGAGACGGGCCGGTGCTCGCCGGGAGGGGACAGACACTCGGCATCGACCCGCATCGATTAATCAATACCGAGGGAAGAAACGGAAGACGAGGAGAGCGAGCGGCTGGAAGGTGAGAAGAGGGTTTCTCTCATCACAGGAAGGTTTTCGGGTTTTGTTTACTTCAGCATCAGCAGGTGCAAAACGTGCGGATTAATTAATTGTTTTCTGGATTTTAACAACCTGGAATAAACTGACCATTAGAAAAGTCCCGAGAGAGGGGACCCACACTCAGAGTAGACTAACCAACTCAAGAGGCGTTACAAGAACCTTAATACCCAGCGAAATCACAGTACAGATTCTTCTGTTTATGTTTTACCCTCAACACGAAACCCGATAATTCGTTTAGAAGGCGCCCTAACAATAAGTGCCGTTTGTTTGCGCTGCAGTGAGGCAGAGACGGCACTGCGCACGGACACCTCGGAGCAAATCGATTCTTTCTTTTGGGGGGGCGAAAATGGCAAACGGGTGTGGTGAGTCACTCGTCGTATCACGCAATCCACAGTTTGCTAGCGGACAGGACACAGACTGGACGGCGGGCCGGACTGAACGGGCCCAGCGGTCTACTGTGGTTTGTACCGGTTCTGTTGAGGGAATCCGAGCCCCGCGTCCCGTATTAACCTGCTCGGACTCGCCAGTGGGAAACTGAATTTCGGGCCCTAGACCGTGCTTCAGTAACATGTGCCACGCTAATGTTGGCTTTTTTTTTTACTTCAATACCTCCTACGGTAAATATTCCAACAGGCTGTTTAAAAGCAGGAAATCCGGGCGAGAGTGTCAGCACCGTGAGCCGCCACTCCGCCGGGCTGTCGGAACACACTACTGCTCAGGAACAAGTAATAGGTTTATTCCATGCTGAAAAAAAAGAAGAAAGAAAACAACGTTTCGGCCGTGGAGCCTTCTTCAGGTCACCTGAAGGCTCTTTCTTCTCCTTTCAGCAGGGAATAAACCTATTACTTGTTCCTTTGCAGCCAACGCATGCTGACGCAGCTCCCCACCTACACTGCTGCTGCGTGCGGAATCGGACCGGCCTCGCTTTCAGCACACACCCACTAAGTACCCGGAGACCCTTCAGGTCTGTTTATCGGAATGGGAGCCGGCGCCGACCCACGAGGGAACCGCGGACCGGACTCCCGGCGACCGGATCCCCCCCGCGGGAGCGGGCGCACGGGGCTCATTAGGGCCATTCCTCTGTTGCCATGGAGGCCTGTTAGGGCCCCGAGATCAGCGGTGATTAGCATGTGAAAAGCACTGGCTGGCCTCCCCTGCCCACGGAGGGGCTGCAGGAGGGGCGTCTGTACAAATTAGCATGGAGGGGATTGAGCTGGACAGAGCCTCCCAAGGGAGCCTTCAGCACAGAATACTTCCAGTCTCCTGAGCCTAATTGGTTTTTAACAGTATTCAACAGACAGGGGGCGTGGCCATGGCATCCAGGCACCCAGTGGCCCTGCGGCTCCTAGCCGTGTTTTCTTCTGAGGTGCTGGTATCCACTCAGACGAGCCACTGGATCCAGCACCAGCACTCGGTGAAACAACGTCCCAAGGCGTTGAATTCCGGGAGTCCGAAGACTTTTCCGTCTGTTTCTGGGACACAGTGTGCCAGTGTTTATGAGGTCATGTCCATGCTGTTCAGTTGTAATTCGGTGGGTTGGGCTCTGTGTGTTTGCGTGGAGCTTTTGTATTTTAGGTTCTGGCTTTGCTAAGTAAAGATGTTTCCGAGATCTCTGGCCGGGAATGTGCTCCTGAAGAGCGCTCTGTCCCCTCGCTCGTCGCTGCAGAGAGAGCGCCAGCCTGGGCCACGCTGAGGGAGC